ATTAATTATCATTATTATTAGAAGATCAAGCTTGCAAGTTTTCTTCAAATTGCGAAATGCAGCTAGTTTATCTTTTCATTAAGTTTTTTGATTTTGCACAAAAAATGACTCGATCGATTTTTCTGCAAACCAAATCAGTTTTAAATTGTACAATTATGCGTTGAATGCAATTAGTTTTATATCGATATTATTTTTTGTTCTCGAAATAATCGAGACAAAAAATAATTCCGAACGCACATAGGTACACACACAGACGTCCACTTAAAAACTGTTGTATTCGACTTTACGAACCTTGAAACGTGGAGATATGCCAAAATTTGGGATTTGCAAAATCGGATGCATTACAATAATTTCCACTGGGAAACTAAAAATAGAATTTGATTATTTTTACTTGTATAATAAACAGTTAGAAAAATCCAATAAACAAACTTTTTTGATATTTTTATAGAAGTACAATAATATTTAATTAAGACAAATTTTTACCTTGAGTAACATTTGATTAAAATAAATAATTGAAAAAGTTATAATGAAACTTCAATCGCGGTAATTTAACATGGAAAATTAGCCTACATATAAAAGTTTTAATTAAATAGCCATTACAAAACATTTACATTATCACGCGAGTAAATAACATTAAGAATATGGATGTAAATTGTTATCATTTGAGCTGGTAAAAAGCTCAAGTAAATTCTACTCAACGTTGTAGGAGAATTTTGTATGAAGGGAAAATTGTAAATCATAGCATTCGAAACATGACAAATTTCTAGAGAAATCGTGCAATGCTTAACCACAATTCGCTTAGTTGGAGTAGTAGTTGCTTCAAGTTTCAGTTGCCGTTACCTGTTTGCATTAAATGTAATTTTCCATGTGCAATCAAAACAAAACCAATGTTTAATTAACATTTTCTCATCGAAATTTTTTGAAAATTATGTTTACTTGACTGATAAAAGTACTTTTCTTATACTTTATACACAAGTATCTAATGAACAGACACATACTTTAGATAAAACTCATTATCTTTTATTTGATCATTAAATACGTCAATCGTCGGTACTTCTAGTAGTAGAACGCTTATTGCTAATTACTTTTATAGGAAGAGTCAAAGAGTATTGACAGACCAACCGAAAAGTTGTGCAAATAAGAGGAAAGATTTTTCAAAGCTTTACATTGCAACGAAGAGCACTAGAAAAAAAAGTAGAAATTGAATGGATTAAAAGTAAAAGAAAAAAAAACTCTTTTAGAAAAGTCTAATATTGTTAATTAATTCTAGTTTTGAAGTAAAAATAAATTTTTTAAAAAAAAAGAAACGACATTCAATCGAGTAAAGAGAAATATTTCACCACAAAAATTTTATAATATTCTGCAAAATCTAAATACTGCTCAGTATTCAGAAAAAAACTGATACATGCACATTATGAAAGGACATTTGCTCATACATTTTGCGTCAGGAAGCTACACTACTATGCAATATTGGAAAACTACGGTTTTCGATTTTTCTTGGTATTGACAAATAGCTACAGCCTCAACTATTTATATCAGAGAGTCTGTTGAATATCATGTTCTTAGACAAGAAGTCACCATACTTTTTACTTTCTACTTATCTGCTTGACGTTTTATATGTCACACGAATCGCTGACCGTATTTTTATTCATGTATCATTTTCCGTTTGCGTATTATTGCAATGTCAGATTATGTTCCAAGTATGTTTTATTCCAAATAACATTCAATTTGAATTATGTGAGAAAAAAATTAATCAAATTTTATTTGAAATTAATTTTTGATGATTTTGCTAAATAATTGCTTTTTTGTTATATTCGAAGAATTAACTAAAAATTTTAATCTGTAAAATAGTTCATAACTAATAGTTAGTAGTATACCATCAGTGTTCTCTCACAAAAACACTTTCCTCTAGTGCATAATTCATGAAAATATTTAAATAAAATTCTCCTCAACTTATTACTTGTATACATTTAAAGGTACTTTACCTTTTTTTTACATATAAGTAGCAACTGATGTACTAGATTCTAAAAGTTGAAGTGAATAAATTTGGACGATTAAATTTTAAACTTACTTTATTTTCATACTTTTTATATGAGAAATAAGAAAAAAAAAAGTAAGGTATAAAAACCCCAGGTCTGTTTTAAAATTCTAAAGTGTCTGCGATACTTGCAATTAGTTAAAAAATGGCGTTTTTCATTTTCCCAACAGAATTATTATCATAATTACAATTAAAAGTTCTCCAATTTGAATATCAATTGAGGCAGGAAGTGACGAGATGACCGCACTTGTCGGGTTCATGAAAATTCAGGATCCTCTCATCTGAATATCATAACACCAAACCGATGTAATTGTTTTCATACACGGCATTGATGGATTAATCTACTCAAAGAGTACAAAAAAAAAATAATCAAGTTTTGAACGATATCATTTTAACGTGGTCATCAATGCAGAATAAAAATACTTCCAATTAAAAATTCACTGCTTCAACGAATTCAATATAATCTGTCATTAAAATGAAGGATTGCTAAAATTTCAAATTTTTCATCTCATTAAATACATTGAGAGTGATAGCTCACATTAATTAGTCACTTAATATCAGTTAATATAGTCAGGCTTACCTCAAAACTGATCAACGACAAACTTCACTTGAAGCTAGAAGACGTAATGATCTAATCATCAATGGCAGCAGAGTTATGACACTAATGTTGTTAGCTAGTCCCTAGTGGTAACATTTAGGTATTTAGCAGGGGTCAAGTGAATTATTAAATTATGCCACTGGCAATTTCTATCTATCGAATACAGTTTCTTTGGATAATTAACTGCTCACCAAGCTAGAAAGTCAATTAATACTAGAGTTGAAGTAAAAATATAAAAATTAGTGCTTTTTAATTGTCTCTGATTCAGATAATGGAATGACTATTTGCATAATATACTTTTCTACAGTATTCCAGTTTGTTCATTTCCTACTTATTGAAAGTTCATTATCGAAACAATTTCACTTGAACAGTTGTGTTCTTACTGAAATGACATCTTAAACTATTCAATACAAAAGTTTAATCTTTCGTTATAATAAGTTTGTTCAAGGCCTGACTTGTTCGACGTATCTATGATACATACATTATTGAACCTATTAACTCAAACTATTATTATCAAACTTGCTAAAGTTTTGAAATTCTCGATAATTGCATGGATTGTGATAAATATTTAGTGTTATCTAACGAAAATGTTGTTTCATTAATGTGTTAATAATTCATTTATTAAAGCTATTTTTTAATTTCAGTGAATAATCATCATGAACAAATGATGGATAATTTGTTCTGGGAAATTTTTGTTGAAAAATTGCCCTGTAGATTCGCCAACTATGAAATGTAATTTATGACATTTCATATTGCCAACGATTTCTATAGTAGAACACGAAGGCGTGGCAGAATATCAATCTACAACTCACGAAACTAATACTGCGAATAATTTGTCTTTGTCTTGTTAATCTTGACATATATTTCTGAATTCTAAATAGGTATTGCGCATTCAAACTACAGCGACATTATTCGAATTATTAGGAGTATTACAGCAGTTGTCTATAAATATATCAGAAATATTTTTGGTGAAAAGAAAGTTTTTATCATTTAATTAAACTTACAATATAAAATAATCCATTTAGATGAAAATTTTAGCATACAAAAGAATATTTTATCAGCATAAATTTTTGAACAAATTTTTGTCTCTATTCCAACTACCAACACAAATATAATTCCTCTGAATAGCGTCAATTTTTTGCCCTTATAAAAAAATGAACTGAAAGGTATTTTAAAAATACACGAAATTCCAAAGTTTACTGAGAACTAATGTGTTCACAAGGCGTTAATGGAACTTTCCATTTGTAAAACAATATTTTCCAAGTCATTAAAAATCCTTCTTCCCGAACTATATATCATCTCAGCTTCCGGATGATCCATTTAATCAGGACTTTACAAGAGTGTGTTATAATTTGATTAGAAGATTCCTTTATTCGATCAAATTTGTTCGAGCAAATTGGATCGCTTTATTCTGTCTACGTTATCATGGTTACCGTATTCTTGGTAATTTCCTTTTTTCACTTTTAACTACTATTGAAAGTACGTGCTCTTTGACCTGCACCGCTTTCAGATATTCACGCTATACGAGCTTTTCTGCTCCTTGCACAAGCAGCAGTTAATCAACAGAGGCTAATTATCTCGAAGCACTGTGTTGGACGCGTCCAAATGTATTATGGACATATACACGAAATATGCTTATGTTTATAAATGAAATAAACTGACAAATATATTTTTCAAGTTTTATTGTTCTATTAAAATGTCATTCGTAAGCCGAAAATTTTGTTACCGTACTACGAAGTGATGATAAAATAGTCATAGAATATTAATAGAACTTTTAAGATTAAAAAACAGACTTAACAAAAACTATTGAATTTTTATTAACAAATATGCATTCAATAGAGACAATATTAACTTAAATAAATTACTTGATTCAATTATTAGTAAAATTTCATTATAAAAACTTTTCAAAAATTCAAAAATTATTATTAATCTAACACAATTTAATTAATGAAAGAAAACTAAAAATTCAATTTTTCTATTAGAAAATTACTAAATTTGTTTGTTTTTTTCAAAGAAAATTCAAATGTTTACAACTATCAATTTTTTAATTTTCGTGAATAGTACTTTTATGTACCACTTGGTAGAGTCACTGATATGTTTTTGCTCAATCGATAAAATAAATTTTTACTTATCTTAAATCATTTTTTGGAGTAAATTAAAATTATTTTGTTGAAATACCTTAGTTTTAAATAAATACTAATGAAATTATTCTATTTTAATGTTATTATCATATTTATAGATTAAAAACTTTTCATTTTTTTGAAAAATCAATGAAAAATGCAGAATAACTTGTGTACATAAATGCACCGGTGTATTTTCCGCTTGGTGTTATTTTGCAGCTAATTGCGCATGCGTCATAATATATACAGCTGTGTGGTCGCGTATAATGTATATAGATCGTGCAAAAAAGCTTGTAATATTTTAAATATTCACTCTAAATAATTGTATAAATTTTATTAGTGTTATAATTATCTTAATAATGTTTATAAAATAAAAGTGCAACTCAACAATTTAATTTAATATTCAATAATGTTGTGTACCACTTGTTATCAAGTTAACCTCAATGGTTTCTTTGCATAAAATGAGTTAATATAATGAACAAATCATAAAAATAATTGATTTTGTTGATTATTAAATATGGCTCGAGCAATTATATATAATGGACACTCGTCAGTTGTTCCAATTTTTGACGGTAGCCAAAATGGATTTGTAAGTAACATTTGTGCGTTCAGTGGGTGTCACAATAACTTACCACACCAATTTTATTGATTTTATTATTTATTAGTTCTTGCATGCGTTTTATTGCAAATTATAAAAATGTATAAATTCTTTTAATTAATTATTAAACTATTTCAGATTCCTATAATAAAAATCAAAGAAGAGCCAATTGATGACGATAAAAATGATGAAGAAAATGCGAATTCTATGGTACGTAATATTTCACATAATTTACGATCAAAACAATCAGCATCAAAAAAGTTTTGGGATGAAAATGATGAAGGATCAGAGTTAACTCCAAAAAGACTCACCAGAAGATCAGCTGCAATTGAAGCATCCAAAAGATTTCTAGATGATGGAGTAAATGCCAAAGGTATAGATTATGATAATAATAGTAAAACATTATCAAAAGAAGTATCACCATCTAAAACCATCAACAATGCCAATAAATCTCCATATGATACATTCAAATCTCTCTCTCGTCCTAGTTGGGAATGTGAGATTTGTTATGCAAGTTTTTCTGATCCATATTTTTTAAAAAAACACATAGGTTACTATACTCCTTCTTCATTGAGATGCCGTAAGTGTAATAAAATTTTCGGTGATGTGTATAAATTGATGCATCATCGAGAAACTGTTCATCGTAATATTGATCAATCAGCCAATTATAAATTTCAATGTGATTTTTGTAAACAATTATTGAAGACTAAACAAAACATTCAACAACATATTTGTCATTATCATAAAGATGAAATTGGAACTACTTCTGGGCAATCACATAATACGAATCAGACCAAAAACCTAGTTATGTCACCATCAACTCGACTGAATACTTCCGATTTATCAATTAGACAGCATAGAGCAGTAAAAAGAAAAAGAGCACAATCTTGTTCTTTTGCGGAGAATAGACCAATTATTCCGGAACATTCTATTAATACTCGATTGAATTCAGAAAGGAAGTCTTTACTTGGAATACCAGCGGATAGTCATGAAGACATAACATCATTATCGGACAAAAGTCAACTCTCAAACAGCAACTCGCCAAAAAAATTGATTCCTAATACAAAGTTCCCAGGTAACTCCTCTTATCCTCCATTAGTCCAAATTTATGCGATTCCTAACGAAGTCGAAGCTTTATTAAGTGATTGTGAGGATATTTCAGCAAAGAGAATGAAACTTCAAGTTTTATCTAATAAAAACAGCGATAATGGTACAAAAATAGATTACAATTTAAATAGGTCTTCTTTTAGTACACCTATCAAACTAGAAGATTCATCGCGCACTTTTGCGCGAACAATCCAAACACTGAAAGAAAATTTTAATTGTTTAGACTGTAGTGTCAAATTAGAAAAATTAAAAACTTTACCAGATCCTTCAAAAGGTGGACTTGATAAATTGTTAAATACATCGAAATCACCAGAGAAGTCATCCAAAAAATCACCAGAAAAATTATTGGAAAAATTACCTGACAAATCTCCGGAAAAACCATTGGAAAAATCTTCAGAAGAATCATTGGAAAAATCTTCAGAAGAACCATTAGAAAAATCTTCAGAAGAACCATTAGAAAAATCTTCAGAAGAACCATTGGAAAAATCTTCAGAAGAACCATTGGAAATATTATTCGATAAATCTTTGGAAAAACCATCGGAGAAATCAGCAAGCGGAAAAGAATCATTACCTGTTAATGGACCAATACAAACATCTTCAATAACATCAAATTTAAGAAGTTCTACCCCTACTATTTGTGGAACAATTGAAATTGAATTAGAAAACCTTGATATTGCTCTTAAAAAATTGAAAACTCCTAAAAGAATATCTGATACTAGGTGTTCTTCAAGCTCCATTTTTTCATTGGATGGTATTAATATGGAACACTCTTATTCAGCTGCTCCATCTGTAGTTCCTGCAGAAGAAAAAAAAACAGAAGAGAATAATGAAAGTAAACAACCAGCAAAAATTAAATCTATATATTTATCAAGCATTTGTCGAACTCGCTTTACAACTCAGAAGAAACTAATTTATCATTATTTAAATTATCATAGTTATCCTAATTACATTTGCGCTGTGTGTAGAACAGAATGTTCAAGATTAGGTGAACTCAAAAAACATTTAGCAGTACATTGCATTTCAATTGTTAAGTCGTTAGATGATCGATCTCCGATAGACTTAAAAGGTCCCTGCGAAAATTCAAAGAAGAAATTTATATGCAAAGGTTGTAAAAAATGTTTCCCTACGCTTACCTGCTTGGAAGAGCATACTGGACAATGCTCAATATTAGAAGCTAGAAGAGAAAAGAAACGTCAATCTAGTACTCACGAAACGTCTATTGTTAATGATCAAAATTCTTCTGAAAACTTAGTGATAAATCACAGTGAAGAAAGTCCAGCTCTTTTACAACCCTCCTCATCAGAAAGCAAATTAAAAGAGTTTGAAAATAATTCATCAGAAATGAATTATCCATCACAACCTGCTCCACCTACATTACCTTTGTCAATACCTCCTACAATACCTCCAAATATTGACACTCATAAAGATTCGATTAATAAATTAGAGCTAACTTTACAAAATATGGAAAAATGGTCTCAATACACTCACTCAGTAGCTCCGCGACAGAAGCCTAGCACCGTCTATTTGCAACATCAATGTAAAACTTGTTACTCTCGATTTCAAAGTGAAGATAATCTAAATGAACATGTGAAAAAATACGAGCCAAAACACATGAGTCGATGTGAAAAATGTGGAACGTGTTTTCCATCCATCGGATTATTATCTGCTCACAAGAAAGCTGCTCATTCCACTGATGTAATGGCTTATAGAAAGTATTGTTGTTTCATTTGTGATCAAGGATTTAGCAAAAAGAAAAATTTACATCATCATACAATGCATATCCATTGTGCTGAGTTAATAGTCTATAATAAATCTCCAGAATTAGATACAGAATACGAAATGACTTGTAAAATTTGTTATGTAGCTTTCAAAACTCGAAAACAGTTTATTGAACATTCAATGTATTATTACGATAATCGTACTGTAACATGTGATGTGTGTGGTGAAGAATTTGAGGGTCAATATAAAGCTCATGCTCATATACAACAGGTGCACTTTAAAAAATTTTACACATCATATACTTATTCATGTAAAAAATGCCAAGATCGATTTAAATATGAATCACACTTGCGATCCCATATATTTCATGTTCACAAAGATCAAATCGTAAATTCACAATGTACAAATCAACATCAACCTAGGCAATGCTTTGTATGCTCGGTTTGTACAGAGTGTTTTTATACTCCAAAATTACTGAAAGAACATAAGATGGAATTTTCTAACACAGGACCTTATGAGTGCAACGAATGTGATCGCAAATGTGAAACTCTACAATTACTCAAAGAACATAAAAAAAGAAGTCACTATGAAATTAGGCCTCATTTCAAAAAATGTTATCTATGCAGTGAATTTGTGTCTCCAAATTTATGGCTTGTTCATTCTAAACATTTTCATGAGAACGTACCACCTTTAGAATTGTATATGAGAAATTATACTGAATCAAGAAAAAGTCAAGAGCCTAATGTTCTTACTACATATGGTAATGACAAAAATCAGAGTAATTTTGGTGTCTGGATTTCTTCAGAACAATTTTTAGAAAACGTCATTGAATATACTTGTGCTATTTGTGACATGAAATTTAAGTCTGACAATGAATTAAAGGAGCATAGGAAAATTCATAAATATAATGATCCAGATGTAACAACACCACAACAGAAAGATGGATCTGAAAATCATGATCTTGCACCATTCACTTTTGTCAATCAAGAAACATTCGAGCCAGAACCACCAGTGGGAACTTATGAAAGTGATGAAGATACCAAGTATAATTTTGCAATTGCTAATATTTGTTCTGTAGAATTGAAGGAATATGATAGTTTGTACAATCCTGATACAACAAATAAAGAAATGAATTCTATAGGTGATAATTGTAATCATTGTGATGCTTGTCATTACAATAGGAAATTAGAATATTCTGATCACACATACCAAAAACTTAAAAGACATAAAACAACATGTAATGAAACTTTAACTACAAGAAATGTTAAACAAACGTCACTTCCGAATGTTCATCGAGAATTTCCTGCTTCAAATCAACCAAAACTTATTGTGAAGAGTAAAGAAACTGTAGAAGTACCGCAAAAAATTTCAACAAGCAGTGCACAATCGAGTTTAGGAAGTGATCCACAACCTCAGCAGAAAAAACCGTCAGGAACGTGTAAAATACAAACTACAATAAATCAATACTTCCAAAAATCTCCATCTGAAAAAAACATATCAGCTTTATGTGACATTTGCGGATTAGCTTTCGAAAAATCTTCTGCATTAATTCATCATAAAAACAATGACCATCGTAAGAATGAGTCTTTGCAGAATTATCGTCCAACACAAATCCAAAGCTCTAATAATTCCCAAAATACTAATACTCCTTTTCCCTTATCATTTAAAGATCCGCTTATTACTCCAAAATCTTCTCCTCAAAAATATGTAATTACTATTCGTGACGATGATGATGATGATGAGGATGATGATGATGATGATGATGATGATGATGAGACATCTGTTATTAATAATTGTACTGATATTTTAACAAGACCTCCATGTACTGATAACTTTCAAAAATCCAGTTCTTTAAGTGGTTCGTCGATGGATAATAATCAATTTCAACGAATAACTTTAGTTGATAGTGGAATATTATATTCCTATCTTCAGAAACCAGTCAATTAAAATATGATTTTTTTACATCAATCAATTGTTTATAAAATTTTCTTTACTTATTAGAAAAATTAATATTAAATTTTTCTGCTAATTTATTGATAAAACTTGAATAGTGACTAAAACTACAATTGATTTCAAAAAGTATTTTTAGTTTAATACATAAGTTTATTATTTAATAGAATGCAGTGATTCAATTTTTTAATAATTCATTATGCATAAGTGTAAATTAAATTAGTCATAATGTTAGAAAAATTTTCTATGAAAATTTTTTTTTAGTAAGATTTATTTTTACACTAGTTAAGCTTAACAAAAAAACAATGTTAGAGCTTAGTAAATAAGTTTCTTCAAAATATACACTAATTATTCTTTCCGATCATGTTTGATTTTTATAAATTTACTGTAAGTAAATATATTTCTTTTTTGTGTGGGTAAAAAATGAAAAAATATTACAAGAATCAATTGATAACACTGTATGTAAAAAAAAAGGAAAAATTTTTCATTTTGATAAAATTTATATATTCTTTCAGAGTATTATTATTTTTTTTTTAAATTAAAAAACACAATTTTCCGTCGTAAAAATAAAGAAAATGTGTGTGTGAATCTTCTGGTAATTTAATTATTGTAGTAACAGCATGATAAATTTATTTAGTAAAAATAAGACCTGTGGTCGCAATTGTTATGCGAATTTCTTATGATAATAAGTAGAAAATCTTTGAAAATCAATATTAAATCATGTCGCATCATGGTTTTATGCTAGCGGATAAGTTTCTGCAAACCATGCGATAAGTAAAGGATAAAAGTTTTGCTATTCATCACAGCGTTTTCAAGATAAGTTGCCTACTTACCACTATCTTATGAAAAGTTATTATAGAGCTGCAAAACGATAGAGCTTTGTTATTCGAAGCGTATAATGAAAAGCATTGGAAAGCGTCTGCAGAACATCTTTAATTTGACGCCACTAGTGTCCTTTCAGCATTTTGACATTTAGATGAATTACATCATAAATTTATTGGAAATTGTTCATTCTTATTCAATCAAATTTTTTTTTCCTCCCACTGAATGAATAATGTTTTGCAGTCTATTCTTTAACTTTCATGGAAAATGGTTTTAAAAATGTTACTGATATACAGTTTTATTTGTAATATAAATCAGGTATAAAATCACGTATTTTAAAAATCAAAATGTTACAGTTCATAAAAGATAGTTTCATATCTACTTACCATGACTGTGTGATGCACTCAAACCTTTATTTGCATCTTATAGCTCTGAATCCTTTATATAAAACATCATAACCATTAAAATATATACATATATATTTTGTATTTAAATGAAAATAAATCAAACTTCTAAAATACATTTTACCAAGTTATAAAAAGCAATATTTATTTATAATGAACATATTTCAATAAAAAAAAAAACATCCATCCAAGTGAATACTGAAACATTTAATGAATTGAACTCACCAGTTTTGTATGTTAGTTAGGAAGTTATTGTCAAGTTAATTATAAAGAGGAGCATTGTACTTAGTCGCTATTTTCAGTGTAAAAATTTATTTTTATTTTCACGAGAGGTAGCTATTGTTAAGTTATCGTCACGTTGTTTTTCATTTTTCCCTTGAAACGTATACGTCGACCTGAATATCGGTTTTTCCACTATAACTAACTATATACATCTCAGCAACATCGCTCCATTTGTTTCAGAGCTTGATACTTTATAACATGCAAGTAGAGAGGTGTATGCTGTAGTAGAGATGAAGAAGAATACAAGTAGATTCCATACATCAGTGTTTAACACGCTCCAGTGCGCATGATACGGGCAATTTAAAAAAGTAGGGAATGAGATTTTTCTGTAAATGACATAATGGTTCTCATTTAATTAAACGCCACGTTTATTCTACTCCAACTTTAAGAATTTAATGTGTCTATTTCTCTGCATACTAGCATTTATATACTCAAACAGAAAAATCAAAAAAGTCATTTTTTTCATAACTTACTTTTAAAACTTTTTTCAAACCTACTAAGCTAACAAAAAATTATTTTAAAATTAAATTTCTGTTCATTTAAAAAACTACAAATAAATGAGTATTTTATATTGTATTTTTATGAAACGTACACATAAAAATTGATCATATTGTGATGATTAATTACTTGAGTAAAAATCAATAATCAATTTATTATTGAAGAATGTGTGCTTTTTTAAATCTCCTTTAAAGCATAAAACATAACATAAATTAAGCTCAAGTATAATTTTTGTATCTCCAGACCATCAATTTTCCCTAAAACCTAAAGATAAATGTCTATATATATGCATTCACATACGTTGTGGATAGTGTCAAATTGCAGTAGAGTCCATAAACCTTAGAGCTTATTTCGTATCCTACATAAGGGAGTGAATTCATTGATTTAATGCAAACAGGAAATGAAGTAGGTGTCCTAGCATACACAAACCACTTTCCGTATCTAATATAAAGGTCGAGAGATCAACCTTCATCCATAGAACAACTGAGTACACAAGCAACTGTGCGCGAGAACGGGAGGTACTGAAGGATCAAACTATACGCAGCTTGGGATTTCCATTACAAACATAGTTTGTCCTTGTCAACCAATATCCCGGTTACTATATCGTTGGAAGCTGAAGTTAGTAGCCATGTTCAACTAGATTACCATATATTGGACCAAACGAAACCTCTGTTAGAAATGAAAGTGGTATCCGATATTACATATTTCAAATCAATTATGACATGTCAATAGGTTGCTAGATGAACATAAATATGTGAAGAAATTACGTCCAGATAAAAAGCAAACTTTCAGAGTAGTTGAGTAGTTATTCTGTCGTAAGAGGTATATAAAAAATGATCAATCCAGTGATCCAATGGTTCTCGACGTATTCAGGTCGGTTAAGAGTGGCGAAACGATGAGAAAAAGAAAAATCATCGAGAAAAACTAAAACAAGAAGCAGCCGAGACGAGAATCTCTTGTGGAATCCTTGAGGCGAGGAAAGCTTAGTTTTATACCCTTCTACGTGAAGTATCGACTTAATGTTCAAGTCCTACTTTGCCGTAATCCTCAATTGAACCTGATCGACTCAATCGAATACTTTAAAGAATACACAGACTTTGTTCAATGCCAGAAAAATGTTATATTGGAGTTTTTAGTTTAACAGCTTGTTAGACTGTATTACGTTTACAGTGAAATTCGATACGTAGTTTCATTTGCTTTTATCAAAAAATTCTTGGTTCACTAACTAGAACACAAACCAACTAAATGTATTTCATTTCCTAATTTTGTCAGGAAAAATTCGTAACTTTTATATCATGAATAGTTTGATAAAAAGAACAACTTAATATATAAAAATTTATCACGTTTGTCCGTTTTTATAAATTTTTTTGTCAACTTTAAATGTGGTTATTGTTTTTTTGATGCTATTTTCGCTAGGAAAAATATCTGTTGGTTAATAATTTTACTGGTAAAGACTCAAAATTCAATTTAAGTCAAATGCATTTGAAATCTCGAATGAGATAAGAAGCTAACTGTTTTCAGTTGTACAGAAATTTTCTACTAACATAACTTGCAAGAAGTGCTATAAACGTGAAAACAACTGAGTATATAAAAAATAATGGCTGCGGAAATAGCATCGTCAGCTGTTTGTAACGAAATATCAGATGATTTGATTCACCATGTCTCACTATTTAGCTGCACTTCGTCTTATTTTTCTTCTTCCTTCAAGACTTGCAAAAAATAAGCATACTGTATATTTGAAAATTACTTTAATCGCCTTTATATATTCATGAGAAATAGCTTGATTGATTATTGATAAATTAATCATGAAGGGTTTTATAGTAAAATAATGAATACCTTTATTGAAGATAACAATTGCTTTGTTGAAAAAATTGTTTCATTTCAAAGTTTTGTTGTGAAAAAATATTGAATCGAAATAGTTAACGCATCACTTGTATATTGAAAAATTTCTTATAAAATATGGCGTAATCAAGGTTGCTCTTTGTCTGGTTTAAAGACTCAATTTACTTTCTCATAGCTTCTATTTCTGAAAAATTGTATACCAGAGCATTTTTTGCGCTCCAGTTCTTTTCACGTCGAATTATACTGACAAAGTTAGATCATAAATGCAATCACTCGAGCAATTTTTATTGAGATTGCTGGAACTTTGAGCAAAATAAAAAAGAAAACAATTTATGTCTAATTGAATATTTTCAATTATCAGCTCGATCATAACTCCAATATTTATACATCATTCTAACAATTTTAAAAAAAAGAATTTATTCATGTGTGGTTTATAACAACCAATATTACAAGCATTTTCTTTAACTCTAAGTTAGACTTTAAGTCTAACACAATAAAGATCAACACACCTTTGGTGAACTTCAAACCATATATTGATCTTTCAAAAGATGTTTACTTAGATAAACTATGTCTTTTATATATCTAAGTTAGGACCACGGCTATTTGAATTCCAAAATTTATCATATATTTTACTTATACATTAAAACTTTCTCCATAATCCGATTGACGGAATTTCAAACTTTTAATTATTTTAAGTAATTATTAATTTTCTATTCAACTTTATTCCCATGATACCTGGCTAATTAAAAATTTACTTTTAAAAATATTATTTAAAATCTAAAATTCAGGTTACACTGGTAATTTCAATTCAAAATATAAACTAAAAATTTTTTTTTAATAACAATACAATAAGAACTTTTTATTGTTATTCATATAGACAAGAGTACGTTGTATTTTTAAAAAAAATCTATCTATTATGTTCAAATTTAAATAAAAGTTATAATTTACAGTTTGTATTCCGTTTTTCTCTGTTAAAGATTTATTTATTGTTCCTGAACGCTAGCTAACTCGTTGGTTTATACCAAAAAAGAATAGACTTTTCAATAGAAATAAATCATTCTTAAGGTATCGAAGAATAAAACATCCCATTCCTGAATGCAAATTTTTTTTATCCCAAACTTTGCTGTCTATGTCTTAGCCTACTTCTGTATTCTCATGAGATCTAGAAGTGGAAAGATTCGTCGTGAACATAAATGAGTCTCGTAAAATATTAAGTTTGGAGTATGATGAGATATATTACTTGGTCACGTAGAACTTTAAAAACTTTGTTTTATCCAGCTTACTTTTTACTCAGTAATCCTCATATCAAAAGATATATAT